TAGGTTGTTGGACTAATATGGCTCCTTCTGGTTTTTCTAAACTAGCTAGGCATTATTTATCTCCTCTCTCTCTCTCTCTCTCTCTCCCACTGTCTAACCTTTCCACCATGGTTTCCCCATTTAAAGTGCCCCCATTTTCCCCATTTCTCCCATGAAAATACCCGTCACCTATGATCCCACCCCTCTTGAGCTCTTTTTTTCCCTTTATCCCAACATCAACGGCCAGCACAGCATACTTCATTGGTACAGTAGCGGCACTCTTATCTTGAGGGCAAACAACGGCTACCTAATTTGACTAAATGCTTACTCAAAGGGAGGACACTCAAGTGTGGTAATGTAAGCATAGCCTAATACACATGGATGGAGTGGCCATAGATGGTGGAGAAAATCTCAGGACTGTCAAATCACTAGACTAATGTGCTAAATGTGTATCTTTAGGTTTACAGACAAGTATCCCAGTCACCACTCATCAAAGAAGTTCATTTTGCACCTGTCAGAGACTATTACCAAGTACCAAAACTGGTCACGCACAGACATTGTCTATGAATTGCCCAGACCTAAGTGACACATATACAATGCAACCTCTACACCCAAGGCTCATAGAACACAGAACAGGTATAATGAATATGGTAACAATGAATCTCTCAGTTCTCATTAATGAAACTTCCTCACGCAGCAGAGGACCAGGAACACAAGAGGTCACAAATAGCCCAAGTGTAGCAATCAAGAGATTGCTGAATGCTGGTTCTTGGACAGGATCCCTTTATCAAACCTCTCCCTCCCAAGGTTTAGGGACCATCATGGAAGAGGGGGCAGAAAGTTTATAAGAGCCAGGGAGGAGGTGCATGATCATAGCGAAGCAGAGTCCTACAAGATCCTGGGAACCTGTTCATATGATTCTATGGCAATGGTGTCAGCATACACAAGTCCCATGAAAACCCAGGCAGACAATAACCCAGCATAGAACTTGGAAAATGAACAGCAGACTTCAATCTTATCTGAAGGAATTTTAGCAACTGATAGCAACTGATGAAGAAGAGCTGATCTTCCTAAAAGAAGAGACTCTAGACAGGCTGACTAGACTTAGTGGACAAACTTGCACTGGGGAACGGCTGGGCACACTGACAACCCAGTGGACCTTAACAGGGATGACCAAGCATATGGGCTCCAGTGGGAAGGGTTCCAGTGGAGATGGAGGTATAAAGATGATTAAGATTGTTTGAGCTATTCTGTATGAAATGCACAAAAATTTCAATTAAAAAATGTATTGAAGCTTCATGGAGGAGCATGTGGCTTTTCAGAAATGCACCAAGTTCTCAAAGACTGCCAGGCTTTTCCCACTTGGCTAGGTTAAGAGAAGACACCAGCAATTCTAAAATGTTACCTGGCACCAGAAGAAAAGTTACAGATCTCCTATCACCAGGCAACTAAGATTACTTGAAGATGATTTTGCGCAAAGATAGGCTTTCTTTGTTTTAGTTGTAACATAGCCTTAGCCTTGGAATGGATAGTCAGGAAGAAGGAATTATTTCAGTTGTAGTCTGAGTTAAGAGCGGCATGATAAAACAAAACCAAATAAGAACCTTAAGTTTACACCTTACTCATCCAGGTGAAATAAACAGATGAAAATCTGGGCAGAATGAGGGTGGGAATTTCCATGTCTGGATCTTACTCTGTTCAACAGAAAAAAATTATTTATTACACATTAGGATAAAACACTATGTTGACTTCACGTAGACACTCAGAGAAGTAGATTAGTATAACCTTAAACAAAACCATCTAATCAAGGAGGTGGAGAGGATACTGTGTCAAAAACACATTAAATTGGCTGAAAGAGAGGCATGCAGGGATACTAGGTGAGAGATGAAAGCATGGAATCTCTTTATACAAAGCATGATTGACAAAGGTGAAGGAAGTGTTGGTATGCCCTGCAAGTCCTACCTCACTGAAGAAAGAAGAGGCCCTACAAAAGTGTGTGGGAAATAGTTACAGACCAGAGCACAGAAAGCAGCCCACATGATGAATGCATGGGTAATTTTTAAAGGCAGTATGATGAAAAGCCATAAAAATTAAGTCATTAATAAAAGAAGTCAGCAATAAGCCCATGTCCATGAGCCAAACAATGCATTACACAAAGGTCAAGGTTGTTTCAGTGTTCTGAGACTCTTACACATTCATCTCAGAGAACAGTTGCAGATGAAAGGCCAGTGTGATATGCTGCACTCTAAAACGTCAGCAACAAAGTGATAATAACTCAAAAAATGTGCCCATCGGGTCACTTTGGCTTTAATATATCATTACTTAATATTATCACTCTAATGTCCTTTGTCCAACAGATGCACTTGACTCAAATCAATTTGTATAATTTAATAATTGGAGATTATCTCATCCTTCCAATTTCATGTACTATTTCAAAAGTATTAATAAAATCATTTAAAAATGTCCCAGGTTTTCTTTGCAAGTACATTTCGTCCATCAGTCTTCACTCATCAGGTTCCCAGCTCCGTTCTCTCTCAGCATCTCTCTTCTATTTATGACAGCTGTTGTCTACTTGAATATCCTTGAGATTCAGTTTTGAAGCAGATGGAGTCATAGAGACAAAGTGAGGGTCAGGGTGAATATATTTCTAATCTAAAAAATGCCATCTTTGCCTCATCCATGAATAAAAGGTATTTATCTTCTGACCTCTTAGTTAGCAAGCCTCTAACATAAAATTCAGTTTAAGATGCACAAGTGTGCAACTCATTAACATATTGACATTCTCCACTGAATATCAATCTGTGTCTAGCACCACTTGAAGCTCTGGATGTCTGGTTGGTTGTGAATAGAACATCCAGTATGATAAGTGCTCCTGGGCATTGCCTTCCGAAACTCACAAATCAGAAAAAGCAGACTTTTGCCCAAGTGACTAAATCAGCCCCTGGAATGCAGTAATAGCTCAGTAAACAGTGCTGGAGTGACAGAATCAATGCCACTATTAATTATGAATTGTTAAATGTGCTAGAAAGGAAAATAAGACATTGCTCTGAAAGATAATGCCAATATGAAAAGTGTCTCTCAGGAAATGATGTATCAGCCAGGCATCAAGATACTCCAAATTTGAGATATGTGAAGACATTTGAGGTGAAAGAGTTTGTCCCATCTCAGAAAGTGAAAGAAGGTCAAATGGATTTAGCTTTAGTGAATGAACAAGGCAAGAGAGGTCACTGGAGAACTGGCTAACAGCCAAGTATCATAAAATGTGAAAGCCAGACTGAAATTTTTTATTTTATCCTCATTGTAATGCAAAGAAGTCATAGAAGTATTTTAAGCGAGGAAGTGATATTGTCAAAGGAAACACATTTTAAATTACTATAGCTGTTTTGCTGAACATGCATGACAGAGAGATCAGTGTGGTATCAGGAAGATGAGGGACTGAATTCATGGGGGGTGGCAGCTTGTTTTGAGGAGATGGTCTCTGTGATGCTTCTAAAGGTGAAAATACACAGATGCTAGAAATTGCATCACTAGGATTCAAGTGTTAGAAAGGCATTAAATATGCCCAGTTTTTTTTTTTACAAGAGAACAGTTTTAGTGAAACCAAATACTAAAAAATTTTTATCAGACAGCAAAAGGAAAGGGTAAAAGTTTGTAAACTCAGCTTCATAAGCCATTTTATCACATTCATAAGAAGCGCCTTTTGGAGTCACCCAAGAGTTTGAAATCCATGTTACTGCACAGGCTTCCATTTGCAGTTTTCATTTACAGTCAGGATAGCAAATCTCCCTCTTACAAGTGGTGGGGAAAGCTGTTGACAAGACTTTTTTCTCAGTTTTTAAAGTGCTGACTGGCATTTCCACTGATCACACTCATCCTCAGGTCCAAGAGGACAGTGCAGAGGTCAAGACACCTACTTAACGCAGGCCTGTCTGTCCCAGGACTGCTGCAGCCAAGGAAACTAAGTGATCAATGGAGAGCTGACTGATGCTGGCTCCCTTTCTGTCTGCCCTTGCAGGTGACAAGGTGCCCTAGCTCCATTGAAACATGCGAAACTTTAAGTACTCCAGAGGTGAGTGGCTGAAAGGAAGCAGTGTGGAGCTCAGAGATTCCTCATAATACTTCCTAACCTGTCACTTTTGATCATGTGTAGTTTGAAAAAGCACATGAACATGCACACAAAATATTTAGTTAACGTGCAGAGTGCACAGGCCCACTAATGCCCATCATTGATCCAATGATGGTTAAGATGACCTGGGTTCATATTACATAAACCAAAAGCAGGTGTGCTAATATGAACCTTCACAATAAAGAATACAGAAACAAAGAACCCCTTCACTCTTAAACTAGTACAGTGAGTCAAGACATAAACAATCTTGTGAATTGTACAAGAAAATCTACATTTGCTACCAGAGGCTTGTAGTGGAACTAATGAGCAGATTGATCATGAGCTTATGAACAAATTCTCTGAGGTATAGGGACCTTATTTTTAGCAGGATTAGTACAAATACTTTCTGCCTGGTAAAACTTTTATGTGCAACAATATTTAATAACAACAAATTACTATAAAAGTTTCTATTCATATACTTATGTAAATTCCCTCAAACTACTTCCTTCTCTTCTGATTAATAATATAGTCATCATTCTAAAATTAATAACATAGTCAGTCTTTGTTGTAGATGCCACAAATTGCTTTATGTAAGGCCTGAGCGTTAAGGCATTAGGGCTAAAACAGGCTATCCCCATGGAACATGCCCTCTCTCTTTGGGCTGATGCTGTCTATCTCTCGCACTTGTGCATTTGCTTTGCAGTTGCAATTAACAGTTATGTAAATGTATCTTTTTCTCCTATTTTACTCTAAACCTGCATCTATTTTCAAATTGCATTATTCATTTGCAGGGCACATTTAAATTAAGAACTCCTTAGGTTTTAATACACCTCTATAATTCAATAGCACCACATATAAATGTCAAGGGTAAATGCTGATTTTGATCCATTAAAAAAAGATACATTCTGTCACTTACCTCTGTCACTGTCATAGAGATATGCAAACTTGTCCCATTGGTAGTACTCAATCAAGCTAAGAAGAGCTCCTTTGAGGTCAGGTCGCATCTGGATGACAAATGGATGTGTGCCATCTGTTGGGAAGCTGGGTGTGATAAAGGACACATGGAGTGTCCCACAAAATGACGTGATGGTATTTACAGACTTTTTGTCATAAAATCCAAAAATCGCATAGACTCCTCTTGAAAACTGGGAGCAGACTAGAAACAGGGAAAACAGAAATGACAAATCATGGTTAATCACCATATAACCACATGGATTTGCTTGAAACATAATATTCCTTGATATAAAATAAAAAATCATTAGCCAATCATAAGGAATATTGAGTTTGTATTAAAGATCTAACAATCTTTATGGGAACTTATTTGGTTCGCATTCTGTTTGCAGAATTCAAAAAAATTATAACACATAAAAGTAGTAATTAAGAGCACAATAAAATGCATATCTTATTATTTAACAAACTAGAGAAACACAAATGTATTTTAGGACAATCGCATAAAAACATATCAGTCAATAGCTGTAAGAACAAACCATAATTATCTAAGACCTATATCCTCTCAAAACAACTCATTCCTTACAAAATTTGTTCTAAAAAAGCTTTGTTGTAAACTTAAGAGATGGCTTAGTTGTATATGCCTCACAAGCAGAGTGCCCAAGTTTGATCCCTATAACCCACATTAAAAACCAAGGCATGAGGCTGGAGAGATGACTCAGTTGTTAAGAGTATTGACTGCTCTTTCAGAGGACCCAGGTTTGATTCCCAGCCACCCACATGGCAGCTATGAACTGTCCTTAATTCCAAAGAGGGGAATCCGAAGCCCTCTTCTGACCTCCGCAGCATTGCACAACATGGGTGCACTCACATACATGTAGGCAATATACTCATACACATAAAATAAAAATAATATTAAAAAACTATTTTTAAAAGAAGCTGGGCATGCTGCGCACTTGTAATCCTAGTGCTGGGGAAGTGGAGACAGCCGGAGCCCTGGGAGTCACTGGTCAGCTGCCTGCCTTTATCAACAAGCCCCAGATTCAATGAGAGACACTGTCTCAAAAATAAGGACATGGGCTGGAGAGATTGCTCAACAGTTAAGAGCACTGGCTGTTTTTGCAGAGGATCTGAGCTCAATTTCTAGCACCCACATGGCAGCTAGCAACTGTTTCTAACTCTAGTTCCAGGAGCTCTAACACTCTCTTCTTCTGACCTCCATAGGTATTGCACAACACAGGTGCAACTACATGCATGAAGGCAATACACTCACACACATAAAATAATAAAGTATTTAAAAATAGGAAAAAGGACAGCCATTCTGAGGAATGCCACCTGAAGGTAACCTCTGTCCTTCATGTGCACAATCACACACATGCATGTTCACCTGCATGGACACAAACATACATGTAAACAAACACAAAAATTTTAAAGGCTTTATTGTGCTTGTGGTGTTTATACTGTAAGTTCAGGCCAATCATTGCAGTGCACATCTTTAATCCCAGCCCTCGCTTGGGAGACAGAGGCAGGAAGACATCTGTGAGATCAAGGCCAGCCTGGTCTACTGGTACCAGGCAGACTGGGACTAGGGAAACCCTGTCCAAAAAACAAAAACAAAAAACAAAAAAAGAAACAAACAAACAAGAATAGATCTTCAGCTAGGACTCAGGCTTCTTGTCCACCTCCCAGATCCATGCCAGGTTTTCATCTGGATTGGAATTGCATGGTGGTCATGTGCCTGATGTAACAAGTGCTTTGAATTCATATCTGCAACTGCTTTTGTGTCCAGAACCATAGAATCCTTGCATTCATCCACCACCTCTGGCTCTTACAACTTTCTGCCACCTCTTCCAATGATTTCTGACCTTTGGTAGGTGAAGATGTGATATAAGAACACTTATCCACTACTAATGGAAGTGCAAATTGGTATAAGCATTATGGAAATCAACGTGCAAGTTCCTCAAAAAATTAGAACTAGAGCTACCACATAACCAGCCAAACCACACATGTATCCAAAGGACTCTATATCCTTCTCCAGAGATACCTGTTCCATGTTCATTGCTATTCTATTCACAGTAGAAAGGAAAAGGCAACAACCAAGAAGTCCACCAACTGAGAAATAGATAATGAAAATATGGTATATTTACAGGATGGAATATTATTCTATTGTTAAGAAACCCAAATTATTAACTCCATAGGTAAATGGAGGGAGCTAGATCATCTGAGTGAGGTAACTCAGGCCTAGAAAGAAAATGTTACACATTCTCTCTCATGCTAACTTTGAATATTTAGATGTTTGTTTCAATTGAGATATCCATAGAGGTCAGGAAACCAATAAAGGGCTATTGGGATGGCTCATGAGAGGGGAGATAGAATGCAGTGATATAAAGAGGGGAAGGGGAAAAATGGAATAGGAAGGGTTAAATGGGGTGGGGAATGGGAATGCACAGTAGAAGCGGGAGTATGCGGAGGGATATCTAACACTATAGGCCTTCTGAAAAACTCATATGGAAACAATACTATAGAAGTTTCTTAAAATATAGACATATGGAATATAAAAAGAATTTAAAAGCAGTTACCCTATAACATGGGGACAATGTCTCTACCAGATGCTGTAGGCTAGCAAATAAAAGCCCAGTGTGAGGGATGGGCTCTTTGCGGGTTGTTAACCAGGGAGATCCCATATATCTTCAAACAATACCGGCCATTGCCATGGGAACTTAACGATAAGGCACTATTGTTGAAAACAGTACATATATGAGTCATAGAACAAACATGGAGAATCAAGCTGGTATTGCCCTCAAAGCTGTATCTCTCTTTCCAGCCATCATAGTGCTGGAAGGTGCTGTACCTGCTACCAGAAGAGGAACGTGATCATCAGATTTACTCAGCTACTTGGAGAGCTACAATAATGGTTGTTCTGGCAATATATGCCCCCAGTAAAATAGTGGCATGAATGTTATGGGAATAATCTACTACTTCCTATTTGAATTTTGAATTTAAGGCCTTTTTCACCCAGTGAAGCCCATACCTGTAACTGTTATCATGGCCCAGAACCTGTGGCTAAACAGATCACAGGCCATAGGGGAGAATTTACTACTATTATTATTATGGACATAGTATTAAACTGACTCTTAATGACTTATTGTTATGCTCATCAATTAATGCATTTTAACTCTCACTAGAGAAGCTTCTTGTGACACTTGGAAATCAATTCAGAGACCCACAACTACTCAACATACAGGAAATAAGAGGCTGCACGGTGCTTAGCCCCAAATGGAACACTTATGTTCTCTTTGGTTCAGTTCTTCCCAGTAAAATCATAAGGGTTTTTTGAAACATTAACATGATTTTATCTTTTTTTTAGAAGTAAGAGTTCCTTGCCCAGAACTGATCCAATGTAAAGTTCTATAGAAAACATCTCTAAATAGTCTTCCTGCCACTGTCCAGGTTAGTCATATGATTGTTTAAATGAATGCATAGCTGGTATTTCCCAAATAACCAAGAATATATTTGCCATTCTTAAAATGAATTACCTTCATTTGAAGTATAAGAACACTAACTTACTTCACTCTATTACTTTCACAAAAATGTATAGAAAATAAATAGAATTGTTTCATGAACAAGAGCAATCCTAAAATGAAGTTTATAATAACTCTCAATGATTTATAAATAATAATCAACATTTCAATAATTATAGTGTGGATAGACACTGAAAAGACTGGAATATCAGGTATTTCTCTTGAGTGTCCCTTATTTATAAAACCTATTTTCCTTTGACTATCCCTTCATGTTCAACTTACTCCTGTCTTTCTAGCATAAGCTTGCAGAGGTTTTTAGGTGATACCAAGTAGGATAGATTGTTGACTTCCCCTCCTTAATCTCGAATCTTCTGTACAATGGCCTCTTCTTCTTCTTCTTCTTCTTCTTCTTCTTCTTCTTCTTCTTCTTCTTCTTCTTCTTCTTCTTCTTCTTCTTCTTCTTCTTCTTCTTCTTCTTCTTCTTCTTCTTCTTCTTCTTCCTTGGTTTTTTTGAGACAGGGTCTCCCTGTAGCCCCAGCTGTTCTGGAACTCACTATGTAGACCAGGCTGGCCTCAAACTCACAAAGATCCACCTGCCCCTGCCTCCTGAGTGCTGGGACTAAAGGCATGTGCTACTACACCCGGCCTTATTATGTGTATGAGTGTTATGCCTGCGTGTAAGTAAGTGCACCCATGTCATGCAATGCCCATGGAGAACAGAAGAGGCTGTCGGATCCCCTAGAACTGGAGCTATGGACAGTTGTTAGCTGTCATGTGGGTGCTGGGATTTGAACGCGGGTCTTCTGCAAGAACGGTCAGTGTTCTTAAATGTTGAACCATCTCTCCAGCCCCCTAAATGCATTTTCTTACGTTTCACATAATGCCAAGATGGGATTAAATTCTTTCATTCATGTCCATATATTTCATTCTCCCTTGGGCAATATAAAATTGAAAATAACCAATAATGTATCTGATGACTGTGTCTATTCATCATACAGGTGAAAAAGACATTTTGCTGTTAAAGTCTTTTAGGTAAACTCTAAAGTGATATCTTCCTTTGTGCATGGATATATGTAAGCTGACATGTATACCTTAAAATTTAAATTTGATGAGATTTTTGTTAAATCTTAAATTGATGAAATATGACATATGAAAATGGAGAACTGTTTTAAAAATTCTCCCAGTGTCTATTTTATTTAATTTCCTACAGAAGGTTGGCATGCCATCCAGACATTAAACTAGTAGCACACAATATGATTTATTGATGAATCCTCTTGTCCTGAATGCAATAGTTTCTGGAATGGACACAGCAGCCACAGCATCACCAGGATGCTTGAAAATGATGCCAATGTTTGAAGTAGAACCTTAACAATGAGCCTCAGTTTTCGTTTTCCGTTATCTGAAATAAAGTGTCAAGTTACTTTATTGTTATTGTAACCATCTGGAGATACTGAGTTTATTCCAATGGCAAACACAAACTATACAGAACTTCATGAGAAATTATAACTTATTTATCTCAGGAACCATTTTCCAAGCAATTCAGCTAATTCTTCAGTTAATGTTATTTTATAAGAATGGACTTTTCTCTCCTGATAAACCTTGGTCTTCCTCATTCATATTATCTTATCCTTCATGCATATTAAAATTCCCCCACTATTCTATTTTTCTAGGTATTTATCCCTTAATA